AATATGTAAAAGGAGAACCAGGTGGTAGCTTTGGAAAGCATTAGCATGTATTACATTTTATTTGACCTACGTTTTATGAATTGTTGGAGCAAAACGAAACACAGATGATTAAGAGGGACAATGTTGAAAAAGAATGTGCTTCCCCGAGAAAGAGTAGAATTTCTCTTATTTCATGGCCTTGAAAACAAATGACACAATCACCAACTTCTGTTTTGAAATGATGCAATGAACATCTTATGTCCAACAATAGACATTACATAAAAAGAAAAATACATAAAATATTGTGTAGTTTTGTTTCTTACTAATTAGCAAATGTTAATTAAGGGCTTTCAGAACGCCGTACGCTACCTTGAAAACTCCAGTTATTACAATGAGGCTAAATGCACCCATGTAAATGTGCATATATTTTGTTTGCTGAACTTATGGGGATAAAAACCTGACTCTGGCCAATCAAATAGAGGGAGACGAAAGACCCGGAATAAGAAGTAAAAGTGATGAAAAATGATAAGTCGTACAACACCTAGCTACTGCTACGGTGTCAGAAGAGGGAAACAAAACACTTGGACGTTTCCCAACAGGGTCAGAGGTCGAAGCAACACGGATAAACATCACTGGAGCCGCAGGAGGAGGCACACTGGACACATTCTTACACAAAAATAACAAAATTTAACACAATAACAAAATGTTGTAGTTAGAAAGTAATGTGTTACTTTAAACATGTTTGTTTATTTCTGTTCCAAGTGCATTAACTTTTACCAGAATAAGAAGTAAAAGTGATGAAAAATGATATAGCCGTGGGAACATGTTTCAAATGGGGGGTGCTGTGGGGATGGCACCAGGGCCGGTTTTGACCGATTTGCTGCCCTAGGCAAGATTTTAGCTGGCAATGAAAAACCTCTACAAAATTCCACTACACTACAAACAGAGAAACGTATTGAGATGGTGGACAGCTTATATAAAAAGGCTTCAAATGTATTTAGTATTGCATGAACATGTTTTAATTGGGGGGTGGACTTCACATCCTCTAGGGGGGTCCGGGGGTGCCTTCCCCTCTCTCTATCTATCTATCTCTCTCTCTCTCACGCTGGCTGTGAGCTGCGGGCGCCTGATAAGCCAACATCCCCCACTTTCATCACTTACAGCGCCTATCGTACGGGGCAAATGGAAAATGTAACCGGGGTGAAAAGGGTGTTATCTTTACTTAATTATGAATGTTGTTACATCAAGGCTGAAAATTCATTTTCTTTCGTATTATATTTGTATTTAATCTTGTGGAAGTGCAGATCCCCTGTCCTCCACCAGGGGGTGCTGCAGCACACTCAGAACCCCTACTTCCCACGGCCCTGAGTCGTACAATATGGCTCTAGCTACTTTTTTGGACAACCAGAAGCATATTTTCTAGGGGAATTACTCACATGGTGTTAAGCAAGCTTTCACAAGACTATCCACCTGCGTCATCACACAGAACATAAAGATACATATCATGACGTTAAGCAACAAATAACTTATGCTAACCGTATTAATCAACCTATGTTATCTATGTATGCTAATGTCGTTAGCAAACTATCATTAGCTGTTAATGTTTTGTCCCTATTCTAATGTGAACGTAAACATTAGTTTGCCAACAACACTTGGATGACTAGCTAAAATAACGTAGCACAAATTGTTGGCTAATGTTACGTTTTTTAACTTAGTTATATCAAATATTAAGGTTGTTTTCTTTGACAGCTATCATACTGAATAAATATTTACTGTGAATGTATGCAAACATGTATGGCATATGGCTGTCTAACAGAAGTTAAATTTTAACTTCTGTTAGACAGCCATATGCCATACATGTTTGCATACATTCACAGTAAATATTTATTCAGTATGATAGCTGTCAAAGAAAACAACCTTAATANTCTGAATTTGTACTTTTTAAGCTATGAAAGCAGAGATGGGAGAAGTACCCAGATCTTGTACTTGAGTAAAAGTAGAAGTACCAGAGTGTAGGAATACTCTGTTACAGTAAAAGTCCTGCATTCAAAATGTTCCTCAAGTAAAAGTAGAAAAGTATTATCATCAAAATCTAGTGAAAGTAGCGACAGTAAAAGTAGTCATTGTGCAGATTGGTCCATTTCAGAATAATATATATGTGTTTTATAATGATTGATCATGAAAGGGTTCTCAAAGCTGGTAAAGGTGCAGCTAGTTTGAATGACTCTACTGCAGGGTAACTTGTGACTTTACTCCAGGTGGAACTAAAGTCTGATTTAACAGTCAGTAGGTTATATTTCACATCATTCATCCAGATCAGGGATGGGCAAATGGCGAAGCGCGGGGGCCGCATGCGTTTGTGTGTATTGTGTTTGTTTCCCGGGGAAACACTCACAAGAAACACCGGCTGTTCTAATGCCTGCTGTGACGTTAAATTACCGCTTGTAATTATGCCTTTACAAGCTTAACATTTATATTTATCATCTGAATTTGGCGAAAACAAGTTAAATATTCTAAAAACCAAGACTTTGTTTATTTGAAATCAGATGAAAACAAACTGTCACGGACCCTGCCGTGTTATCTATGATTACTACACGCTTCATTCATAATTTCAGCGGGAGGGAGGGGGAGCGGCGCTGAGGAACAGCTGAGTGCGGGCTGACATGTGTCTGTGTTGACATTCCCCTTATTGTGGAATAAGGGGAATGCAGGACAGGCTACAAGTGTTTTAGGTTCAAGTTAGACAACTAATGTCTGGGTTAGTGTTCATGACTTCATGTTTAAAGTCATCTTAATGGTTCATCTCAATGCACACACATTTTCTGTGCTTTCCAATAGTTTAACATAGTTGTATTCCTTTGTTAAATAACCTGTTCAATACAAACATGCCACTTGTAAAAATTAAATAACATTTCTGTGAACTGATATTTGTTTAGTGAGCTTATTAGAGGATGTTCCCTGAAAGATTGTAAAATGTCAATGAAGATGTCAGACTTAGTATATTTGTTAATAATTACATACGTGAAATGTGTGTGTTCCAAGTGAATCTGCGGCCCCCTGCTGGCCAGTACATAAATGATGTGGCCCCCACCACCATCCAAGTTGCCCATCCCTGATCCAGATCCATAAAGTAACTAAAGGTATTAAATATATGTAGTGGAGTAAAAGTACACCATTTACCTCTGAACTGTAGTGGAGAAGAAGTACAAAGTAACAGAACATGGAAATACTCAAGTTAAGTACAACAAACTCAAAATGTTACTGTAAATGTACTTAGTTACTTCCAACCTCTGATGAAAAGGAAGAAAACATTTAACCCATGAGGGCAGCAGACAAAAAGGACTGATGAAGTATTTATTGGTACAGTGTGGAAATATTCACATATGAAATAAGTTTTTTGAAACTGTTTATTTCTTAGTTTTACAACTGTGACAGAAGCTTCGTTATTAGAGAAGCTGTTTCAAAGCCCCAGATCTGTTTCTCTGCAGGCTTTCGACTCAAGAGGACTTTCGAGTGATCAAACTTGTGATTTTATCAAGTGTTTCAGTTCAATGTGTTCTCGTTTCTCTGCAGAAACTCCCTGCAGCGGGACGATCACTATCAGCTGTACCTACGACAGTCTTGGGGTTAATTGACGTCATTGAAATGATTTTATCTGAACGCCACGCAAGGCTTTAAAATCAAGCCATTTAAGCACCACTTACATCCAGGCTTCACAAGTCTTCAAAAATCTTAACATATTGTCATTATTTTTTACTATTCTCAGAATTCGTCTGAAAAATTAGAACCTTAGTTCTCTGTTAAAATAAACTTTTTTTATTTACTGTTCAACCCCAGTCAATGGATAGTTAAAGTGTTTTAAGATGGGGTTGTTTTTTTATACCAACATTTGTTCAGAAACCAGGGAATTCTGGGGGTTTAAAGATTCATTCATGTCTAATTTATTACTGGTTTTAGTCTGTATTGGGTCATCTACTGTAGGTGATACACAGACTATGGAGAAGTATCATTCAACCCCATTTTAAAACATCTGAATCATCCCTCTCAATACACATAGTGAGTCGCCACAATGTGTGAATCAACAGTAGGTGCAATCAAAGTGGAAATAAATACAGAAATTAATCTTACTATACTAACACTCCACTGAAAGCACACACACTCTTATTATCCTCTCATACATTAGATATTTGCACGTGTAAATCCTGTTGACATCTCGTCGCAGGAATGCCGTTCTTCCAGTCCGATGAGATGACATGTTGGGACTCGCCGGGTACACAGTGGGTGCCTCTCATTTCGGTTAAATGGATTCCTTGTGTCCTTCACTTGCGTCGTTTCCCTACGACTAGTCCATCCCCCCAGGGAAGCATGGAGAGACGCAAGGAAACCACAAGAAGCGGGGAAATTAGTTTTAAGAGCAATGGGAAGTTGTTTCCTCCGGAGTGCCACCCGTTTGTGATGACGCTGCACAGCTGATCGTCTGACAGCAGCCAGATCAGTGCATGCGCTGCATCGTCCAATCAGTGAGCGATACACAGCAAGGGGGCGGGGCGAGTGTCTGAGGATTTCACCGGAGGATGGTCTGGTAGTTCCTCGATTATCGCTCCTCGATCCTCTGGCCACTGGGACGGTACTCAAGATGGCGCAGACAAATCAACTTCCGGTGATACCGAGCCCGAGGAGCGAGGACATGAGAAGTGAGACACACCCAGTGATCCAAAGTGAGAAGGACCCTCAGATGGCACCAGGTATTTCATGTTGAGTTGCTGAGGGGCTTCATGAGTTCATTATCAGCCTTTCACACAATCTGACCCCCCATTCCCTTTTTAACATGCAGGTTATTAATGGCACCGGCATTTATACAATGTTCAAGCTAGGTCACCGACACAGGCACAGTTTGATCGAGAATTAAAGAGGCCCTGTTAGGCTTTTAGGGGTTTCACTTTTCTGTAGAGTGTTATATAGGTTTTAGTGCATGTAAATGGTCTGCAAAGGCTAAAATCCCTGCCCCCCCCCCCTTTGAA